TGCGTACGGGGTGGTGGGTGTGGGGGGGGGGGTAATTGTATTAATTGCAGAGTCATCCATTCTAGGGGGGATTTTGGTACAAATTTCCAAGGCTGGTTCTGCTAAAAGAAAACAGTAAACCATTAACAATAACATTTGCTTCCTCCCCTCCTCCAGCAGAAATCTGTACCATGAACTTTTCACATTGCAGCCTGCACATCAGCAGAGGAAGGCAGTGACCTGCAGTGGATGGACTCAGATCCACGTTCTCGGTCCCTCCAAGTATAGCAGATGCTATTCTTGCTACTTTTTCTCTCTAGATATTATTTTAACATACCCAAAATATCTCCTGAGGAAAACATTCAACAGAAATGACAGTTTTTAACAGTTCAAAGTAGAGCTGATCCTAACAGAATTTCATGAAGAAAATGTGAGGGGGTTTTGTAAAAAGCTTTCCTTATAGTTTGAATGGTCAGTTACAATGAAGAAAGTGTTATTTCACATCATAAAAAGACCATACAAAGAATCTTGTGCAGTGAAATGTACTTGGCATCCAACATATATATATTATTATACGTAGTATGCATATATATACATATATTTTCATATATACATATGTACATATATATGGATCAATACTGACTCTATTTCATATGTATGTAGTATTTCTACTTAGATCATCAGAGATAGTACATTAATGTACATATATATCTACACACAGCATAGATGTAATGAGGAAAAGGGGAGACGAGAAAGAAACATGAACACATACATACTGCTAGAGAGGAACGGAGCAATGAGGTTGCATTAATACAAGCTCTGAGAAGATGAAGAGTTAGGAGGCACTACCTCTGTCCCATCATTACAACTGAGGAGAAAGGTACAGCTGGGAGAAAAATACCAAGCATGCAGAGAAACAGGAGTGAAAACAGCAGGTGCTCAACGCGAAGAAACAGTGATGCAGTCATTAAAAATATTAACTGTTGAAGTTTGGGAATTTGCTGTATTTTACATTTGTTCCTTTCGATCTGCCTCACTCTATGCCCTCGCCCACTGCTGCCCAAGTACAACTGTAACTAAGAACAGAGATTCATAAGTTAACAGGCTTGAATGGGACAGATCTAAACAACGTCTCGGTGTTCAACATCATATAGATCATTCTGGCAGTGGGACAGATTCATCACGTTGCTTTGTCTAGGGTAGCTTATAGCAGACTTTATAACAGAGCCATGTCTTGATTCTTGTCTGCTAAGGAGATTTTCTTTCTCCTGTTATACTCACTAGCAGTATAAACCCAGTCATCACTTATGAAACACGAAGGAAGCAGACAGCGGTTTTCCCAAAAACGCAAACGTGGAAAACCCATCATGGAATTACAAAAATCCTTTGAGCACCAGAAAGTTCTTTAAAATGAATTTATTTGCAGGACATCGCTGCATTTATATACCTGGACACTGTGAAAAGAACTACATTAAAAGAAAGACTGCCCCAAACTCCCTTTGCTCACCTGCCTGAGCACTAGGATTTCATGCTTTGACAAGGGAACTCCCAGACTTTCACTCACTCCAGTAAAAGACGTCTGTGAGCTGGTGCCAATGCATTGCTGCTCATTTGCCAAGATGCATCATCAACAGCAAACCTCAGAGAGCTTCAAAGCCTCACGTACTGAGCACAAATAACTTTACCATCCAGATGCAGGTGATTTCTCAACCTGGCGCGCTCACTTTGCTTTTATAGCCAGAGATGTGTCACCAGACAAGAGCCACAGCTGACCACAAATACATTCTTAATCCTCTGAACAGCGTCAACATTAGCAAAAACTGAGGTCTGGACTGTAGCTCAGTAGAGCAGTCTAAGCACTTCCAGAGAACCAAATGATACTCACTCATTCCACACACAGAATCATCATCACCACACATTAAAAGATCCTATTTTTAAAACCCAGCCTCACACGCCACGAAGCACAACAAAAAAAACCAATGTCCATTTATTTATTTTTTAAATTATTGTAATGTATATGGCCTTAAAGCTAGTACTGCAGTAGAATATTCTGTGTAGTTTGAGCCTTTTTAAAAGCCAGAAGGTAGACCTAGATAAAAAGCTCCCATTTCTGAAAGCTGCCATAATTAGAAGCATCAGCATTTAGCTGGAATACTCCTGTATTTCATAACACAGCCAGGCAGCACGCTGTTGCTCTATCAAGCTTTATTACACCATAGTGACCTCAGAATAGCACATTCAGAAATACACCATCATTGACAAGTTACACGTTTCCTATTGCTATCCTTTCAAGCTATTGAAAGCAAAAGTTAAATCTCCTTTTTTTGCTTTTTCAGAGAGATACATCTGGCATCTTGGCATCTTTTTACAGGTAAACAACAACAAAAAAAAAAGCCCGAGTACTGACGCGTAACACAAGGATCATGCCTTAAATGGAGTACACCCATTTCTTCGAGCTATAAAACTGATTAAAAGTACTGATACCAAGGTCTTAAATAGGGGGGGACAAAACC